ATCTTATATTTCTCAATCCTCTTTTTTTCAATAAATGAATGCACTTCTTCTGTGTCTCTTCGTCTATTCCTGTTGCTGTGACATGTTGTTGTTTTTTTTTGGGGGGGGGGGATGTTATGTAATAAAAGTGACTGTGCTTGTGTCAGTGATCTGGTGCAGGGAGGGTGGATGGAAAAAGCTGGCAGAGGGACGTTCGTAGCTGTCAAAAGATTGTCAAGAATGTAGCCTGTACAGCTTTGCAGGGCGAACACGAGCCAATGCGAAAGTGTGCGTGTGTGTATGAAAGAGTGCAAGAGAGTGAGACAGTCAGAGAGCGAAAGAGAGAGAGAGGGTGTGTTTGTGTTTCGTTATTACGCTTCTCCAGTTAGCGTGGGACCTTTCTCTGACAGTAGCAGCATGGTAAGAAATCAGCTTTTTTTTACTCCCACTTTTATTTCACTTGTAAAACTGTCACAAAAGAGCAGTTAGTTTGGCACCGGCGACAGATGACGGTGCTTGCTACACTGCTGTGTTTGTTTGGTGGCCCACGCTGCAGTGATGTAGTGCCTGTGATATGTGGTTCGTGCTGTAGATCGCCAGTCTGTGTGCTGAGCATAGGTCGATTGCAACTGAATCATCACAGACAGTAATAAGTGAGGTAAACTTATTTTTGATATGTAATTTAAAAGATAAATAGTGTCTGTCTGAGTGCTGATGATTAGTCAGGGTAGATTGTACAACGTGGCATGTGTTTTTAAAAGAAGGAAACAACGCATTAAATGGAAGGAGCGGTGCCTGTGTGACAGAGTGTACATGCCATTCACATGACGGATCACATACCTTTCAAAGTGGATAATATGCCAGACTGTCATGGATGTCACTCAAATGAATGTACAAAACGTACACAAGTAGAGCATAGCTGCTTCCTTTGTTAGAATAGGAGGATTTGTCAACTGCAATGGAAGTCTGCAGTCAGCAGTTTGATATGTGAGCATCAGGCCAAATCAGCTGTACCAAAGCTGGAAGTGAATCTATCACAAAAGGGTCAAAATAATGCATTGGAACCAGTCTGAATATTGTGGCTCTTATCACTGAGAAAGGATATGTCACTTTCCAGTGTACATTACTTTGTGTACCTGCCTGTTTATATAAGACTTATCTCTTCATTCTTTCTTCCTTCGTGTGCCAGAGATTATCTGATAAGAGTGTGCTTACAAAACACTGCTGATTTTTTCAGATACATAACTCTGCAGCCCTGCAAACAATACAGGTGTACAAGGACTTTTTATCTCTTAATCCACTAACTGGATTCAACATGAAATGCCATCATCCACCGACAAACCCAGAGAAGCCATGTTTGAGCTTTGAACTGGAGGGTCACAGAAAGAATTGAAGTGTGTGTGTGTGTGTGTGTGATGGGAAGCTCACAGCTTGAGACAGTGAAGTGGCAGAAGAGTGTTGGCGGTGGAGGAATGCGCCGATCTGACCCATGAATGATTTGATTGTTTCCTTTCAGTTTGGCCATTTGAAATAATGGGATCACATGTGACAAAGAGAACACAGATTGTTTTTCGGGAGTAGATTTGTTTTCATGGTGAAAAACATCACTAACACTGTTTTTTTTTGTCTTTCTTTAATCTCTTTAAGTCTTGACCCTGATGGTCAATATTGTCACATCACCAAAGTAGTTAGGGTAGATCTCACTGTCGGCCCTTCTGCTCCGTTATTTATTCACAGTCCACATTTGTGTCGTATGGGGTTTCCTATATTGGCTGGTAAAGCTTGGGAACAAATGGCAAAATTGACACAAAAGTTAGTAGATAAAGAGATTAGACAGGGTATGAGATAGCTGCTCTGAGTCAGTGCCCAAGTGGAAATGAGTCAACAGACCAATGGATGCAATTATTGGCCTCTCCGCGGCAGGCGGCATGAGAGGTTAATCCCCCAGTCTCCTTGTCCTGCTGCGGGTTCGATGGCACAGCCAGATCGACTGCCGCTCTTTCATACACACACCGTCAGCGCATCAATATTATACGAGCGAGGGACAGGCAGGGGACTGCATGGAGTTGACATTGTACTTCACACACTCCACTCACTTTTCAATTTCTCTCACTGCAGCTCGTCAATTCGTGCCCTCGTCTTTTATTCTCATAACACCGCCAGCGATAACTTCCCTGTTTATTAGATTTCAACCATCTGTTTCGGCTCCAATTAAATGGTTGGTGGTATTGGAGCTCTGGGCTGGTCTTCGTGAGCAAGCCTCTGGAGAGAACCTCTCTCTCTGGCACTGTAACAGGAATACAGGTTTTCTTACATAAGTAATGAGGTGCAGATGCCAGCTGCGATATGGTCACACTCATGTTTTTATACAGCAAACTTTTTTACTCGTATATATCATCCTCACCTCGCCTCTCACTTTGCAAAAGCAAATGATAGTCTTGTTTAATGCATGCACGCACGAGGGGGGAAAAGAAAATCAATGGAGAATTAATTTATTTTATTTCAGATACTTCACCAAACTTGGAGAGTTTTAATCGGCATCTCTGAACTTGACGATCTTCCTCCTAAAGCTCAGAGGAAGAAATAAAAAAATGCATATAGACTGCGGAGGTGAAAACCACTGATTTCTTCAGAGGTTGTAGAACCAGTATTTTGACATTCCGTCTTCATGAGATGTGAACAGATGACGGCAGGCGTTTATAAGGATTATTATGGAGGTATAAAATCAATCCAAGGAACAGCTGTGAATATTCAGAGAGAAACTCATGCGACCCGGCTTGTGACTCCCTAATGTCGCGTTGCATGTATTCTAGGTTTCTGTGACTCAGTTGAATGAAAATACCATCTGCTCCTACTGATGTGGAAGTTACAGTGAAGCTGAGTCCCTGCTTGTGGTTACCTGTTGGCACTGCACAGAGGCTAGTTTCCATTCCTTAATAGGAGCAGTTTTAAGCAGCTCTGACGATGACATCATTTTCTATTCACAGTTTAGAGAAAATCGGTACAAAGAGTAGATGAACTCAGGCTTCCATTTTCAAAAGACGAACACATTGAGACAACGCGTTCTTTTATCCGTTTACAAGAAGTATTATGCAGACTGTCATTCACAACCTGTGGAGCATCTTCATCACCCACCTCAGTGGTGATAACAGTCAACACATTGTCATGGCAACTACGCTTCTCATCCTAACAACTGCCTCGCTGCCCACAAAGGTCCCGCAGCAACCGTCACCAAGCAACCCCCTCCCGCTTCTCAGTTTCTCTATTTAAGGAGCAGAGGAGGAGGAATGATAAACGACGCTGCACAGAGAGAGAGAGGAAGAAAAAATGCATTTTCAAGAGGAAATGAATGTTGTGCCCAGTAACGTGTTGCTCATTATTAATTTGCTCAAAATGGAAACAAAGCAAAGTTAATTGTTAATGTAATGAATTCCCTGCAAACAGTATATATACGTATGTGTTGTTGCTGTTGATTTTTTGCAACTTAATTGTTGTTATATGTGCTTTCCTGCAGATGTCAGAATTGTATCTTTTTTTGTTATGGGGCTTTTGCATGACTCTTTTGTGTTATGCAACAAAATGGAGTTGTCCTCCGTGCTGCTGTTAGACTCAACAATAATTCAGCCCGGTCATGTGTTGCTTGGAGGCACAGGATGTCCTGCTGAAATGCCTTTCATTGTACAACATGTTGCCCTCCGTCCACTCCAAAGAGTCTTGGTAAAGGTACACTGACATGTGGTATGCTTGTGTTTCAGCATCACATAAAGGATCAAATCTAACAAATTGAAATACCGACAAGTTATTTCCTTCTTTCATGAGAAGCTTTTTTTTTTTCTATATGTCCTTTTTTTTAGCCGGCTAAACACTAACACAGGAAGTCCGGTGGAATAGCAGCAACACAATGAGGGAGGGAGGGAGGGAGGGAGGACATGAGCTGACCCACTCAAACCCGAAATGGTTACAGTCAACAAGGCATCCATTTCATTTTCACCCTTTTTGTCATCTGCATTAATGTGTGATAGAAAGCCCAATGCAAGTTTCCATGTGATGAATGTAATGCTCCCACACATCCCTGACCCTGGCTCTGCACTCTCTGCCTTGTTATGGGACGGCTAACAGAAGGGGGCGTGGCTAAACAAGGAGGATATGTAGGCAGGAGCATGTGACTGTAGTTGTCCTCCCAAACTCACACTCACAAATTGACTTAGGGTGGATTTTGTCTGCAGCAAACGTGAACAACAGGACACTGGAGGCTCCCTGGACTTTATTGAATCCTGAAACGTTTTGGGTTTTATTGCTTTGGTGACTGCAAATAGGATTGTTTCCACTTGAATTGTGATTTGCTGTGTGACAGACTGGGTGAGAGGGAATCTGGGAGGTGATGTGCTTTGACGCGTGTTTTGTCTCACAATATTTCACGTGAAGTGACGCGAAGTGGCACGTAACAACCTGGTCTTTCCTGTCAGTATGGTGTTGCTGGTATGTGGCAGTGGAGGACTGTGTTTTAGTGGTTGATGACTCCTCTAGGCATGCTATCACTGTTGTGTGTCAGACATACACTGAGAGACCGACAAGAGACTGAAAAAGGGAACAAGAAAGTGAGAAGCAGACGAGGGCAGCGCATGAGCACGAGTAGGCTTGGCTAAACGTTGTAGTATATTAACTCGTCCTCTTGACTCAATAAAGGAAGGAGATAGAGGGCAGAGACCTTTATGCTTGTTGGGTCATCAACTCACAATGCAGATAGTTAATGTTGTCAGATCTCTGGCGGCTTTGGTACCGCTGAAATAATAGGAATTTACAAGTTCACCATGAGTTCCACCAAGAGATGGTTAGCTCCTCGCCGCTCTAAACTTTACATGTAAGTCCTTATATGTAAACTCTTAAGTTATATTCTTTGTAATTCAGTGACGCTGAACTTACTCAATCCTTCAATTTGCACTTTAAAATGTTTGGTGTGACATTTTGTCAAGCTACTCATGACTCATCGTAAAAAGCTCCTGCTCATTTTTCTCCTGCAGTGTGGAAGGGGACTCCCAGTGTCCAGAGACGGGCGCTCGCAAAGACATCCAGACACCATTCAGCCAGAAACCTTTCTTGCGCGGCTCGGAGCGCTACACTGACAGCAGAACCAGCAGCGCACCCGCCGGATCCAGGGACCCTTCATCTTCGTCTGCCTCCAGTTCAGCCAGCCTGGCCTGGGCTCTGCGTACACGCCACCAACCTGCGAGCCTGGCCCTCCGCAAGCAAGAGGAGGAGGAGAACAAGAGATGCAAGACCCTTTCAGACAGCTATGAGCTCTCAACGGATCTGCAGGATAAGAAGGTACCGATGCTGGATGTTCGTGTTCTTTGGCGTTTCCTAGAAGCCACTAGCACTAGCAAACGTAATGTAGATGACGGATTCCTTTCAGTTACCTGTGTTCTTCTTTTCTCCCACCTCTTGCCAGGTGGAGATGCTGGAGAGAAAGTACGGTGGCTCCTTTGTAAGTCGCAGAGCAGCGAGGACCATTCAGACGGCCTTCAGACAGTATCGCATGAACAAGAACTTTGAGCGCCTCCGAAGCTCTGCGTCAGAGAGCCGCATGACACGCCGCATCATCCTGTCCAACATGAGACTGCAGTATTCCTTCGATGAGCGACAGCCTCAGCAGCAGGCCCAGACGCAGACGAACTTCACCCACAACGTGGCCATAGGGCCTCCTCATTCCCCCAACCCAGACCGCCCGGGAGACTACACGCGCTTAGAGGACTCCTTCTCCAAACAGGTGACCGTGTTCATGTTTTTATAGGCTATAACTCTTTATGACATGAAAGTCTCAAAGGTCTTCACGGTGACCAAAAGAAACACACAAAGTAGATTAGCTAAACTTTAAAAAAAACTCATCAAACAACAGGACAAAGCAAAATAAAAGACAAATCTTGGCACCACACGCCTTTGACCCGCAAAGCATGCTCTAGAAACTGAATTGTATGTTTAAGATGTGTAACAACTTACTTTCTGACATGAGGGATGCTGAACTCGTTGTGTCCCCTGCAGGTCAAGTCCTTAGCTGACTCCATAGACGATGCCCTTACCTGCCGCGCAGGTCGCGAAGACTCCCAGGAGGGCAGCAGGGAGGGTGGAGGCCTCAGTGAAGACTTTGGGGAGTGTGTTTGGAGCAGCAGCACCAACCCCTCCTCCCAAAGAGGTTTGGGAGAACGAGCCAGGGGAGCTGGCGGGGGACTCAGTATGCATGGCGACAGCACCGCCACCTCCTACAGTGACGTCACCCTTTACATGGATGATGGCATGCCGTCGTCCCCGCTGTCCCTGGATCGGGCGCCCAGCAGCACAGATACAGAGTACTGGGGCCCCGGTGGCGGTGTTGGAGGGCGTGAGGACAGCAGGGACACTGAGGGAGGGGGCAGCAGTAACAGTCGGCGCAGCACCCCGTGCACCGAGTGCAGGGACTATCGTCTAAGAGGCGCACATCTGCCTCTCCTCACCATTGAGCCGCCGAGTGACAGCTCCGTGGACATGAGCGACCGCTCAGATCGTGGCTCTCTGACCAGACAGCTGGTCTACGAGCAGGAGCCTGGGGTCGGGGCTTGCTCCCCTCAGGGAACCCTCAAACACTCCCCCACCACAGGTACCCGCCCTTCCTCCACAGCAGCTGCCCAGGGTCAGACCCGGGCCCCCGCCCGACCCATACCCACACACATCCCTCACCAAGTGGCGGCACACCACCACCATCACCACCACCCTATCCACCACCACCAGTACCCTGACACGCCGCCGTCATCGTCGTCCTCCCCCCAGCAGCCCCCCACCACCCCTCTGTCCTCCTCCTCCTCCACAGCTCTGCCCTCCGACGGTCTGGAGCAGCCGTGCTGCTCGGACGGGGACAACGACTCGCTCAACTCGACCACCAACTCCAACGAGACGGTCAACTGCAGCTCCGGCTCCTCGTCTCAGGACAGCCTGCGGGAGCCTCTGCCACCTCTGGGAAAGCAGACCTACCAGAGAGAAAGCCGCCACAGCTGGGACTCCCCGCCCTTCAACAGCGACGTGGTGCAGAGACGCCAGTACCGCATAGGTCTCAACCTCTTCAACAAGTAAGATGCTTGTACTATTAATACTCAAAAATGCCTATTAGAGACCATTTTCAAGGTGATAATACAACTGGCAAAGTTGCAGTGAAAATGTTATTTTTCATTGATGATAGGAAGCCAGAGAAGGGGATCCAGTACCTGATAGAGAGAGGTTTCGTATCGGACACTCCAGTTGGGATCGCTCGCTTCATCCTGGAGAGGAAGGGCCTCAGCAGGCAGATGATTGGAGAGTTCCTGGGAAACCGACAGAAACAATTCAACAAAGATGTCTTAGAGTGAGTGTGGGAGTACGGAAGAGGTCATCAGCAGGGATTTTTTTGGACAATTCAGATGAATGTTTAATCCAAACACAGATCAGCATAAGTGCACACCACATTTCGTCTCACATATTTCATACCAAGTCTAAATGGATGCAACCTTGAGGCAAACCCAATGCCCTCACACACACATACACACAGACACAGACGTGGCATGTAATAATATGTGCCATTATGAATGTTCCAGGAGAGGTTAGACTGTGACCTCTGCTGTGTGTGTTTCAGCTGCGTGGTGGATGAGATGGACTTCTCAGGAATGGACCTGGATGATGCTCTCAGGAAGTTCCAGGCTCAGATCAAAGTTCAAGGAGAAGCCCAGAAAGTGGAACGGCTCATAGAAGCTTTTAGGTTTGTATGTGTTGAATACAGGGTGTTTAAAATAGAGAAAGGCCTGAGTGATAGTCAGTCTAAAGACACACTGAAAACTGTGGCTGTGATATCAAAATGTGAATGTTTGAACATGCTGTTTCTGTCTCTTATGCAGCCAGAGATACTGTGTGTGTAATCCAACGCTGGTTCGGCAGTTCCAGAACCCAGACACCATCTTCATCTTAGCCTTCGCCATCATCCTCCTCAACACAGATATGTACAGTCCCAACGTCAAAGCTGAGAGGAAGATGAAACTAGAGGATTTCATCAAGAATTTGAGAGGTGCTACAGGACAGAAATAAGTCACACACTTGATTTACATATTAGGCTGTTTTAATGATCTGTTTCTATCATGTTGTCTGTATGGATGTTGGTAGGCATTAGATTAGTAAGGAGAAGTGTTTGTCCAGCTGAGATTAAATAGCTTTTTTTCCCACCACATATATATCTGCTCGGTAAACCACTTGTCCTGTATCTCCTGTGAGAAGAAATCAGAAACCAAAAGGGAGAAATTTATATTATATATTTTTTTCATGATGGTGCCCTTTAGATTTTGCATGAATTCGACCGAATCGGTATCCATCTACGTAGATGGGCACCTTATTTTAATACAGCCAATCAAATCTGGCATATAGTAGTAACGTCAGTGATCTATCAAAGGCCAAGCAGACGGTTTACACTGAGCCAGACAGCAGCCTGCTCCGCAAAACCTGAACAATAATAACCCAGATTAGTCGTTGTTCCTGCTCACATTCACTGTGGAAAAGTGCTCTGCTAATGTCAATTTGCAGGCTTAGATAGCCGATCAACTGCTCAGCAGCAGCGCATTAAACAACATGGTTGGTCTGGTGTAGTCCTTGCTCTTTAATAGCAATAATAACACGCTGTCCAGCCATGAAAAAAACGTTTTTCCTCTTTTTAATAATAAAAGCAACTATTAACAATACATCTGGTTGCCGATTGTGTGTGAAAACTATAAAAATCACAACAGTTTTTACATCAGATACACTATCATTTTGTGATTTGTGCAGTGCAGTTGCGATAAACATCGTTTCCTAAAACCCTCCCTATCATTGTCTCCACCCAAGGCGTAGACAATGGTCAGGATATACCCAGGGACCTGCTGGTTGGGATCTATCAGCGGATACAGAAGTGGGAGCTACGGACCAACGATGACCACGTGTCCCAAGTGCAAGCAGTGGAGAGAGTCATTGTGGGCAAGAAGCCTGTGAGCAAAATACAGGGCTTTGTAATATGTTGCCACTACTTGTTAAAAGTTTATTCATTTGTACTGTATTTTTCTATATAGGTGCTGTCCCTTCCCCATCGTAGGCTGGTATGTTGCTGCCAGCTCTATGAGGTCCCCGACCCCAACAGGCCGCAGAGGACCGGGGTGCACCAACGGGAGGTTTTCCTCTTTAATGACCTTCTGGTGGTAAGACTCGCATGCATCACTTTTTAACACATGGCAGATAAGACATCTATTTAATTCGAAAGAGCCTCTAAAATATATCCCATCTATCCATACCATCAGGTGACCAAAATCTTCCAGAAGAAGAAAACCTCAGTGACTTATAGTTTCAGACAATCGTTCCCTTTGGTGGAGATGCAAGTGCACATGTTCCAGAACTCTTGTAAGAACCCATTTTTCCTTTTGCACATTTCAACTATTCTTTATTTCCCTCTATGATTATTATTATTGAAGCGGCAATCCTTAACATTTCAGTTCTGGGTGATTTTGCGTTTCTATTTGAGTGGAAACAATGGAATTGTCGCAGTAGCAGTCTGGAGTCAATAATATTTGAATATTGCAATACTCAATCCAATAATCTCTATCACCGGTGCGTTGCCTCCCCCGGTGATAGACAGTGACTTAACAGACATTTATTAAAATGAAAATCTTCAAAACTGCCACTTTAAGTGTTTTATTGTTCTGTGTTTGCATCTCTTAGACTACCCACATGGTATCCGCCTGACCTCAGCAGCCCTGGGTGGGGAGAGGAAGGTTTTTATCATCTTTATGGCACCCAGTCAGCAAGACCGCACCCGCTTTGTTAGCGACCTCAGGGAGAGTATTGCTGAAGTGCAAGAGATGGAGAAATATAGAGTGGAATGTAAGTACCCCATCTGCTGGTCATTACTGTGAACTATAACTTTAGTGGGAATGATGATTTGTACAGCTTTCTACTTCAAGAAATGGAGTGCTGGTGGCATCGCTATATGGCTTATCCTTCTCTGCATCGTGTCTCCTTCTCATTTTAAATTCCCCTGTGCCCTTTGTGTTTATTTACAGCGGAGCTGGAGAAACAGAAAGGTGTGATGCGGCCCAGCTTGCTGACTGGCGGCGTAGGTGTGAAGAGCGATGTTGTGAATGGCACTCTGGGAAGGACAAGTTTTGATGACAACTGCTCCGTGGGTGAGGGTCTCAAACGCACGGCGCTCAGCTCATCTCTCAGGGACCTATCGGATGCAGGTGAGGCAACAGCACATCAGACATGGCGTTTAATTCAGTTTCCTTTCTGTCTGCTGGGTTGAATTGGGTAGCGCAGCTTTTACATGATTTTTTTTTTTATCCACTGCTACATACTGTTCCTCTTTCTCACTGACGTTAAGACACAGCTTATGCAATTCCTATCTTTTGCCAAAACACATGTGAGCAAACTTTCCAATCTTCGGCTCTTTGCTAACCTGACTCTTCCTGGTGGGGTGCAGGGAAACGTGGTCGCAGGAACAGTGTTGGTTCTCTGGACAGTACTATGGAAGTAAGTCTCAAAGACTAGATGTTGTCCTGTAACACGTCCCCATACCGGTGCTTCGTCTTCCCGAGCACGCTCAGTTTGTGTACGGTGTGCATATAGATGGTGTGCGTGTGTACTTGCATGTGTCCACATGTCTGACCTGCACTGACACCCTTTGCATGGCTGTGTGTGTTCAGTCCTGCCCAAGCATGTCCTTCACCTCCAGATACAAAGGTGTCCTGTGTGTGATGATGTAAGTGGAAACAGAGGCATTAGTGCCATGCTTCAGGGATGTTTCTAAAACATGATGATGCTTTATTCTCCCAGGGCTCCATCATTAGCAGCCCACAGCCTCACCAGCGCTATACAGTGCCAGGCGTGGTGCCCGGCTGCTACGCAACAGAAGACTTTCGGCCTCACCGCCCCATCCTGAGCCCCGGATCGGGGGTGGGGGGTGGGCCGGGGCAGCAACACACCACTGCTGGGACAGGAATTGGGGGAGTCTCCAGCAGTGTAGAGAGAGCAGGAGCGGGGAGCGGGCCTGGGGGGAGCAGCAACAACAACAACAGCGGCTCCTTCCTGGGGTCCCTATTCGGCAGCAAACGTGCCAAACCTCCAGGGCCCCTTATTCCACCGGGGCCACCCTACCCCGCACCTGTACCCCCACCGACTACGGGAGGTCCCCCTCCTCACTCCCCATCATCGCTGTGCCAGCTGGATGGGGGGCCTTCCAAGATCCAGGCGCTGCACGCACAGTACTGTCACATGGGCACCGTGCAGCCCCCACCACCTTACTACCATCACCATCGCTACCACGTCCAAACTGTCCCGCCTCCTTTGCAAGGAATGCCCCCTCATTCTATACAGAGAGGCCCGCTACCCTGTCGTCCACCGCTTGGCCCCACACATGTCCAGCACCCACAGCTGGCCCATCTCTCCCAGCTCTCCCAGCATGGGCTTCCAGTTCGTTACGCCAACATGGTGGTGGGATGTCCCCCCCCCCCTTTCTCCTCTCTCCCAACACTCCCAGAACCCGCAGTTTGCCCTGTACCACGGGCAACCTACACACTCTATCAGAGGGGGCGGCGTCCCTGGCACCAAACTTCCACTAACCATGTCTCACTCCCACCCGCACCCACACGCACACTCCCAAACCCACCCCGGACACGTGCTAACACCACACCCAGCCAGCCACTCCACCCATCAAACACACTTCATATTCGGCACTCTGCCCCACAACCTACCGTCCGCCTCCGTCAATGCGCATCACGCTACGTCCGCCGCCCCGTATCAGCCCCAGTACCCTCTTCTTTCTTCTATCCCCCCTCCCCCACCACATTCCCCTTTACCCCCCCCTTTGTCCCCCCTTACCCCTCTTACACCTCTCTCCCCTCTCCCCCCCCACCACCCCGGGCTGCCTCAGCAGGGGCCGCAGTTGACTGGTGCCGGAGCGACAGGTACAGGGGGCAGCTCCAAGTCCAAGCCTATCAACCGGATAAGTACCGTGGTGTGAGCAGGATGTGGGGCCCCAGGGGTCAGAGGTCAGATTATAGAGTGGAGGAGGTTGGCAGAACTAGGCCTAGGACCAAGTCTGCCAGGACAGAAAGTAACAGCAGCAGCGCTAGTGACAAGAAGAAACGCAGTTTGCTTCGTCTCTGTTACTTTCATCTCCGTTTCCCACATATGTAGGTGGAAATACAGAGCACAGCTAGAATGCATACATCTTTGAAACCTGCACACACAAACAAACACACACACACACACACATGCACATCCAAATGAATAAACACTCCAAACAAAATATCAAAAAAGTATATAGCCATATAATTTAAGATGAAACTAAATCTATATCTAGATATATTGCCTCAGTTTTGATTATTTGAAGTATAGTTGAGGCTGTAAGAGACTATTTATATGTACAGTACCAAGATGTGATAATGTGACACTGGAAAAAAGCAAACAGAAACCACATATATCCAGGTGATTACATGGGGATGTAAATAAAGACAAAAGCACCAAATGCATTCCAGCGGAGTTTGACGTTAAAAACAGCAGAGAGTTGCAAAAAAAATGTCTCTTGACTTTGCAATAATTTACTTGGCTTCACGATGTGTCTGTCCACTTTTGCAGGTTCCGCTTTGCTGACAGGCATCTTTTTTTTTTTTCTAAAGACCTCAGATATGTTGCTTTGTCTTAAATTTCTAAAACCAATGCACGGTTTCCTGACAGTCTTTTGCTTAATGGTCTTTTACATGTCAACAGGAGCCACCCGGCTTTATAATGCATTCCTTGTGGGGTATGGGAAATTAATGATACAATCAATAATATATTTTGAATGTTTCTGAAGCTTCTTGCCGTTTTATCGATATTATAATATATCTGCTATTAGTATGATGAATATTGTACAATATTTGTTTTGATCAGTGATTAATTATATCAGCAGATGTTTGTACATGGTAATAGAGAGTATATGCACATATAAATCCCCTCAGTTTGCCAAAACCACCAGAGGCTGTTCCAATATTTGAAGTGTGATTTATTTCCATAGTACCATCACAGTTCAGTATTATTGGTTGTTAAAAAAATGAATGAGATTTAGTTTTGTTCAAATTAATTTGAACACAAACAATGTTCCTCCTTTTCTGTTTTGTTTGATGTGAGCAAACAGGGGGATATGTTCTCAAATGGGGTGACTAACAAAACTTGAATTTAAAGAATGGATCTGAGTTCATGTTTCATTTTTTATATATATTAATGAGGCTCCCAGTATTGGAAAAAGGCTTGAATATGGAAATTAAAAAAAAAAAATAACGTTTTGGACGATGCCATTCCCTCATAATTATAAAGGGCATCTATACTCACTTTCTCACAGTCATCAGATTTAGTCATTTTGTGTTTTTTTTATGTTTTGAAGAAGCACGCTTTTACATGTTTTGTGGTTTTGCACACGTGATGTCTTAAGTCAGAAATGGCCTTCTTCTTATCCTCCCTCTTCTGCCACTTTTAGAAATCTCCTGTTACATTTTCTGATGCCTTCTTGTTTAAAAACTTAACAAGTCGAGAATGTAAAATAGCCTACAGGTACATAATGTATTGCCCCTTGTGCAAGTGTTACCCATTTTGCTACTGCAATTTTTGAGGATGTAATGAGCACTGATGTCATTTACCTTCAGTGCCATTGATTGCCAAGGGAAAACTACATATAATCTGATTTGAATGGGTCATGATGGGAATGGGAATGAGGACAAAGTACAGAAGTCAATGTCACAAACTACTGAAAGAGATGGCAAAGTTGAAGATCCTCAACAAAAGGATTTTAAGGAGGTTTGGAGATGGTCAAGAATGTCAGATGAAGATTTTATAAGTATATGTTGGCTAGCCTTTTCTTTTTATTGTGTCCTTTTATGACTCGTCTTGCATGACTATACCTGCCCTTATTGAATAGATTGTACTGTATAAATCTGAATGTACATATTATAGGCTTCTATACATATGCTTCTTATCATAACTATGGGATGAACTACTCCCATTCTGTATTCAGGTGTGTGCATGTGAGTGCCACCAAGTCTGTACATATAAAAGAGGGGCGGGGATAGGAGATGTTGGCCACAAGGAATGTTGACTTCTTTTTCTTTTCTAATTATTTCTGACTGAAGGTGAGAGAATGAGTTGCCATGACATAAATTAAAGCCTAAAAGAAGTTTATATGTTGGTGCAGTTATTGATATCATTTAAAACAAATGATTTCATTTTTTTTCTTTGTGTATGTATTATGTGTACTGAAAGAATAGAGAATTGAGATGTGAATATTTATTGCTTCTGATAAATTAAAGTGTCCTTGCAGTGAATTGGTCTCGGTGTACTTTTTCTATAACTTAACATCTGTTTCAACCATTAATTTGCTCAAAGTAATAAATGATTTATAACATGATTACATTACATAACCACACAAGATAAAGAGAAGTATAACTACAAGATCTATATAAGATGTAGGCTGCTTTGCATATCAACTCATAACAGAAGCCATTTTGTTATGATTGCAAATGTTGCATAACACCAGAAAACAACCCACAATCTCTTATTTAACTAGCTATCTTATTGCATTTGGATGGATAACTACAAAACTGATGCACATTGCCGATAAGCGATGCAGTATTAATAAATAATTCAGAACAATGAGTGGTAAAAAGTACTCATGGACTCAAATACACTGTGTGCTGATTTTTATTTAGGGGCTAGATGAATTTCCATTTAATGCAATTCATAGAGAGAGAAAAGTGTGATTTTTACTTGATTTTGACAGCTAATTAAATATAAATGCAGAAAACATGCAACCTGTACTTTATGCTAACACTATATAACGACATATATTATATATATATATATATATATATATATATATATACATTATATCCCTCCACCTCGGCCAGTGCTGCGGGCACACACCTGCAACAAGACAATACAGTACGAAAAAGCGTCACGTTTTCTTTTTATACAATGGTGTAATTCATATAACATTATGTATTTCAATTTTTTTTGTTAAAATTATTTATTTTACATTTTTATTTGTGATGAGAGTATTGCATGGTGGCACAGTTAATTTGACTTAGGAAACGACTCTACAGCCGGTCCCGGTGCAGTTACATGACTTGAATTGGCGTACGTGGGTACTACTTTCAGGGAGTAAACGTGAGGGACGTGATGTGAAGATTCTGAGGTTGTGCTTCGGTCGTGAGAAAAAAAGCTAAGATGGCGTCTCATCAAGAAAGATAGGATGGCTTGAAGAGAGTGATGATGTTGGTCGGGAAATGATTGATAACGAGATAATTGATGAAGTTTAGACCCTCGCTTACTATTAAACGAACTGCTGACATCCATGTTTTGAACCCGTGTGTTAGACAGAGCGGAGTATATGGAGAACTGAGGCTGGAAAAACGGTCAACTTTGCTAGCAGCGTCAAGCTAGCCAACTGGACCGAGCACAGCTGGCCAACGTTAGCTAACCACCAGTCATCACAACAACAGAGGAAGGAGAACGGCCACCGGCCCTATCACACCCCGGGACATCGAGGTGTCTTCGGGTCAGTTACGGGAATGCAACGACACGTTGTAGTGTAAAGGGGGGGTCAACAAATAACTGCATGTGGACATAGATAATGTTACATGTATATAAATAACGTTAACTATCTGGTTGATATCACAGTGTGGTTCAGTGTGGAGGCTAGGTTAGCTTGTCTGCGTTTACATTGAGTTTTGCCACAGCCGTTTAGTCAACGTTAGCTAACTATGCTAGTTAGCGTAACCTAAAGCCGTGGGAGGCGATGGGACTGGGCTGCGAAAAAGTGGAGGCCTTGATGCTAACATTAGCTGGAAGTTGCGTTTATCGCCTCTGATAGCTGAACAATAGACATAAATAGACTCCACGAATGACACCTAGCTAACCCACTATAAGTAATTGAATTGGATACATTTTCGTTTTTCTTAATTATTTTGCTAAGGCCGTCGCTGGAAGGTAAGGTCTTAACGTCAGTTCTCCCAAGTTTAGTAGCTAGTAGTTAGCTAACAGTTGCCAGTTAAGAAATGTGTATTATTGAGTAATGTTAATCAGATGGACATTGACATTTAAATGTCACCATTTGGCTTCATGCAGTTGAGTGACTTTTTATTTATTGTCATGTGTGTCTTTGGAGCGTGTTAATTAATGTGGCCCAACCTACTTGCGGGCAGTGATGCCTTCATGGCCTCCTCTATACCTTTTTGGGTTCATGGCCTCCACGCCATTGTTTGTCTGAAGGCCTTTGCAGAATCAGATAGATGACACACATGTCACTGAAATCCCAGAATCAAGTTGATGATAATGATTTTTATGCAAGTAATGCCCCAGGAAAGAATTTAATAAAAGACTATTATAGGAAGACTCGTGCAAACACATTATACAAAGCAATATTTATTATTCAAGTGCAAACTGAACCACTTGAGGGAGAAAAAAAATCAGTTCTGTATTTATATTTTGATTGTTGCTCAGTTCTGCGATTGATAAAGCAGTACTTAAAACGTTTGCCCCTTTCCACCCCGGGCCCTGAGCATGGCGTTTGTTTTGTTGTGTTGGGGGAGGGGTTTTCACAAGGACCACAGGGATAAAACAAATCCTCATCCTGAGATTAACCATGTCTCTTGTTATTTTCTAGCATGTAAAGTTTTGTGGGAAATATTGCACTACGAAACATGCAGAGGAACTAGTGGCCATATATTTAAAGCTGACAACAGTACAATGCCATTCTAGACCTGGAAATAGTATGAGCAAGAGTAAACAAATACAATTGTGTAGTAGCTGTATGATAGGCTTTTTATTTTCTTATACACTAATCTGTTGTACTCATCATCGAATTAATTACCTTTGTAAAATGTGTTTCCATTGACATTCATTTGGGAACATTTATTGAAAAACATGCTTTTTGTAAATGTATCTTCTGAAGACAAAATGTTGGCCCATGAACATACCTCAGAAATATCAGTTTCATTCAAGTCTGTGTTTTTACAGCACTCTGAACTTCCCTCGGGAATCTGGAGCTCATTAAGTCATGAAGAAACTGTAGATCAATTCAGAAAACAACAAATGCAACATATGCATGGCTTCAGGGTTTTAGGCTACTATCTACACATGAAAAACAAGAGTTGCATACATAAACTGCTTATTATAGTCCATTGACTCATTTTGTATTGTCTGTCTTCCTGTTTTCAGGGCAATGGAAGGAGAAGAGTTTGTACCTCCTCCGGAGTGTCCAGTGTTTGAACCGTCATGGGAGGAGTTTCAGGACCCCCTGGGCTACATTGCGAAGATTCGTCCAATTGCAGAGAAGTCTGGAATCTGCAAAATTCGACCTCCACCAGTAAATATTTGCTAATGCTTGGATCATGTTGAAGAAATGACATGCTCACTGGGTTCATTGTGTAACATTTGTAGCATGCACTGGGTTGAAAGTGTTTATGAGTACTAACTAAACGGTACGTGGACTCGCTGTTTTAGTCGATAGACGATGACAACGTTATGTGCATCATCAACAACAAAGAGCAGCGTGTTTAATATGAGATCAAATGACTGATTCCTACGGATGTTTGTGTCGTTTGAAAGGCATTATCAAAGATAGTGATTCAGCAGGGATTAATTAGTAGAATATTCATACACGAAGTAGCTATAAAAACAATAAAGCCGGTTTAGGAAGTAATTTACATACTCTGCCAGAACAAGATTTATATTTATGATTAGTCTCATTTATGTTCCACAAATTACATTTATTGCTTCTCTCACAACACTATGATTAGCTGTCATTTGTAAAAAAAATGTAATTAGGAAATAATTACATTGTTATCAGAGTTTCATTACAGATTAAAACATTTTAACAGGATGTTTTTGCAGCAGAGGATGGAGAGGTTTACTGGAGGAAAACTGCAAATGGTGTGTAAATTAACACCACAGCACTGCTTATCTTTAATGCTTGGTGGACATAATCATACATATGGTAGTTCCACTAACTGACGGTGCAGTGTCTTTAGCAATGATCGTTTCTTCTGAATTTATTGGTGAGGGGGAAGGCTTTTCATTGCTGATAGTGTGAACTTCAGTTGTTTTTTAGTAGGCCGCCTTGGTTATCCGTCCTGGTTAAAGCTGGGCCAAGTTCTTGAGCCTTTAAGCCAAAGTAAAACCGCCAGGGTTAAGCCCAAACTAAGGACCCTAATTTATTTATATCCCACGTCCATATTCATTTGGTAATTTTAGTGAGCTCCTTAAATGTTAGACGTCACCATCAAAGCATAAATTACACAAGTTTAATTGCATGTCTTTGCTCCCAAATAGGACTGGCAACCGCCGTTTTCAGTGGAGCTGGATACATTCCGGTTCACACCCCGCATCCAGAGGCTTAATGAGTTGGAGGTAAGTTTCTCTCCTTTCCCTTGCATTGTACATTGTTGATAGATGATTGAAGCTGACAATGGAATTGGCCATAGTACTCATGGTGGTCCCTCATGCATCTCATTTTAGGCGGAGACCAGAGTGAAACTTAATTATTTGGACCGCATCGCCAGGTTTTGGGAGGTCCAGGCATCCTCCTTGAAAATCCCACATATTGAAAGGCGCATCCTTGATCTCTTCAGCCTGTCAAGGGTAGATATTACATGAATTGTTTTTACTGTAAAAGTACGTTTGAAGTTAGATGTTTTTGTTGCTTCGATATGATTTTCTGAACTTGCTTTTCTGTTCCAGATCGTGACCGATGAAGGAGGTTTTGAGATGGTCTGTAAGGAACGGCGCTGGGCTCGTGTGGCCCAGAGGCTTGGCTACCCTCCAGGCAAGAATATCGGTTCTCTGCTGCGCTCGCACTACGAGAGGATCGTCTACCCCTTTGAAGTGTTCCACTCTGGTGCCAGCATGCCGGTAACACTCTACACATTCCCGTCTGTCCTTTTTGTGTTACCAGGAGTGATGAGTTAATAGATACCCCTGAAAACTAGTCCGTTTGTGAAGAGGAGCTAAGTAACTACTTGATGTGTTTTACACGTTGTTTTGATCAGAATCAAAAGACTTAGTATGGTACATCATATATATATATATATTTAAGTGTTTTCATCTGAACTCTCTTTTTATTTCGTTTCTAGCATTGCAAACCAAAGCACTATGATGGTGAGGAGGTGGATAAAGAGTACAAGCCACACTCCATCCCCCTGCGGCAGTCTGTGCAACCATCCAAAACAAGCAGTTACGGACGCAGAGCAAACCGCTGCCAGCCTGACGTGAGTGACAGTTTCTATTCCGACTTGTCATTCAATAAATTTGCATACCCCTATGACCACAAACCCTATACTGAACTGTACTTTGGTCACTTAAATATGCTTTTTGGATCACATTTCCGCATGCACACCGCTGCCTCAAAACCATTCAGAAATAAATAACATTGTTGTTTATTCAGCTGCTTTTCAATAACACGGGTTTGGGTTATTGTGCAACTAATCTGTCAAAGAGGAATTTGTTTAAGTAGTGGCACAAAGTGTGAATTTCAACCTGGGAATGTATTTGAAGACATAATATCGAGTCACATTGTTGGTTGCTGTTTTTGAACACAGCATTCAAAAGTCGCTCCAACTCGGCGAGAGAGAGAGCGCAGCGTTGGTCAAACGAGATAGAGAGTGAATGAAGAGGGAACGTGAAAGCCGTGAATCGGAAGAATAAAACATAATTTTCTTGTTTCATGTCGGTTACGTCCTAAAGCCCCAAAAAAGGTCTTCTTGAGTGTCCCATGCTGTCGTGTTATTAACTTTTGCAGTGCTTATCCATGAGCCCGTGCGCATCGGTTTCAGTGGCAGTGTCTGGAAGATGTCACTCAGAGCGCACCCCTGCTCGCTTACTCTCCATCCCGCCATGCTGCTTTGCTTAACTCTGCTCTTCTGGCTCTCTGTTCCATTGCTTTGTGTTCTGCTTTGTTCACCCACTTCCTTCCATCTCACTGGCAGACACACAATTGTTTATTTCATCAGCCTCATATTAGCACAACTTTTTTTGTTTTTGTTTTGTGTTTCATGAATACAACCATTGCACAGTTCAACTTCTGGACTGGCCATCATTCTGTTTTCTCATGCTTGTTACATGCAAACCCACTCTCACCCCATGTTGTTAAAGCCTGTACGGCCTACACATTCTGTATATGAATGCACAATTACTTTATAGAGAACAACTTTTTAGTAATGAACTGAGATAACAGAAGTATGGTTGGCTCAAATAGGCTGCTTTTTATAATAGTTCAGCTTGTGTTAAGAAAATGCTGAACTGTATCCACGTTTATCAGTTAACATGCTGGTCCATTGGGCTGCAAGCTGAAACAAACACACCTTAGATTATGCAATCATATCCAAAGAATTACTCAACATCCCAAAATATACTTAATGTTGAATTTGAAGGAAATATTTCAGCATCTAGATGCACATCATTTCTCATGTGTCCCAGTGACAACTAGTGGCTCTTGTGTTTTCCAGGATCTCTCCCTTCCTCTCTCATCTCCTTTGTTTCCTCCTGTCTTAGTTTATCATTGCTGTTGTTGTCTCCCCTTGCAGGGTCCAGAGGATCTGGCCCCCCATCCTCTCACCACTGGCTCTCAACTCATCTCTGCGGTACTGCCTCTCGAGCACATGAGCTCAACTTCCGCCCCGCTCTCTTCCTGCCTCTTTTCCTAAACCACCTCACCCGCTCTGAAGTTGCTTTTTAACTAACCACTGAAACGTTTTCATTAACATGCGACCACACTTCTCAACCTGATAGGGTTACATGACTATTGCATCCTTTTTAAAAAGCCATATAAAACTGTGGTATTACAATGACGGGGAATGCAAGTTATTAAATCACCATTATCTCCCAGATCTAGACCAGACGATGAACACAGAGAGAAAGATATCCCTGGCCGTTTTCTACAGTTTTTAATTAATGTTGGACAAAGGTGTTTTGGATTTCTCTGCCAAAAACTAATGTGTTAAATGTCCTAAATTGCACACACATTCAGTTCAACCTCAATAGCCAAACACACTTTTTCTTTTTCTTTTTTTTTTAGAGTTGTGGGGCGGATGCTCTCTCTCTTTCTCTCTTTCATCCATGCTCTGTGGTTGCACTTGGCTTGAAATGCTTTGTGGCTGTCTGTGTGCCTCCTGCTGCTTTGCCTTAGTCTACTCACTGTAGCAGCTACCAGTGTGGCTGCAGGCGTTCTCACACAACCTAGTAGCTTTAATTTGATTGGGTTTGACTTGCAGAGGACCATAATCTGAGGATAGACAGTAAGATATTGGAGTCTTAAATCACTGAAGCATCCAAGTCTTTCCAAGTTTACTTGTTCGATTGTCCTCCACCATCGAGCCCTGCTGATCTGATTTGTTGTCTACTGCCTCCGATCCCTGTCCTACTTATATAGTCTACACAGAAATTATACAAGAATGTATGGGCAGCCAAAGTTACATTTGCAAGACGGAAGAGGGTGCAACTGCACACGGGTGGTGAAGTCCAAAACTCACAGGCTTCTTTCATAATCTTTCTTGGGGAACAAAGTCTTGAATGATCTCTTTTGTGGCATTGTTTCCAGTTTTTGTGCCTCGAATGGCACGAATAAAATTGTCATGACATGCATACATTCTTCTTGTTGTGGGAATACAGGTTTCATTCTGAGTGCACACAGACTGATTTCTATGTGCAAGTAGAAGCCAAACCTCTCGGATTAGATCTGAACTGCATGTTTGAAATACGAAGCTCTGAGTTGGAACCTTTTTTTGTGCTTTTTAGATCTGCTGATTATTGAAAGTGACGTTAAGACCTTCGGTGTTTCTGTCTACATTGCTGAATACATGTGTCGTGTTTGCTGTTTGCAATCATATGGCAGAGTAGAACTAGAGTCCAAAAGTGTAGCGCAAAAATAATTTAATAGAAGGGAGGGAGTCTAAAATGACAAATAATTCACCACAACTGTTAAGTGTAACTATTATTGCGTTTTAGCGATGTTTGCAAACAGAAACCCTGAAATATTGTGAAGGAGCTTTAAACTTTTCACAGTTTTCACCGGATGTCTCCACACATCCAAAGGCTGCAAGAAAACAAGGTCTATGGCTGTTTAATATGAAAAAATAAAAGGTCCTCTTGGGATGAGAACAGGTCAGAATACGCCTTCATTAGTAGAAAGTGAGAAGAGGAAATGTGATGATCTCTAAGAATGCAGTGGTGTCGAAGCTGAAGTCAAGAACACTTAAGTTGTCCGAGAGAAATCCAAGTCAGCAGTTTTTGAGATCAACTTCAGGCAAATCCAAGACCATGTTAAAAAAAAAACACACATTCAATACTTTTAATACTCTGTTGAGTCAGGCGTGATGATGAAATGTGATTGGAACAGGAAACAACTCTGATCCACAAGCTAACTATTTAAGGATTAAATCTTTCCACACAATTGTGCATAAGACTACATGTCTGAAGTGAGGACACTGCAGAGAAACACATAAATGGGAAATAAACATGACGTGCCTTTTGGGTAATATGAATAATTAATGTCGAGGCTACAGCTACTCATAATCAGCTAATGTAACTCCTCCAACTTAAGCAAAAAAACAACTCATTAAACGGTGGATATTCAACTTTTTCAAAATACTTAAATCTTCTAACGCATCATAATATTTTAAGTAAATTTGACAATTCGAAAACTCACTTTATGATTGCAACTTCTGGTGATTGTGTGTTGTGGTGGTGGGTCTTAACGTTTAAGCTTTCACTGTGATTGCTGCTAACTTTTCCTTAACTTCTAACCGAGCATAATCCCTCCTTGTGACGGCATTGCTGTGCTCTCATGTTTGTTCTGCGTTTGGCCTCGATCCTCGCTCGGTTCTGTGTGCTTCTGGGAGCGGTTGTTGTGTGTCTATGCCTTCATGACGGAAATGTACTTTGATCCACAGCCTGAACCGACAGAGGAAGACATCGAGAAGAACCCTGAACTGAAGAAGCTTCAGATCTACGGCGCAGGGCCGAAGATGATGGGACTCGGACTCCAGGCAAGGTACAAAGGCATCAGGAAGAAAGGTAAGTCCCGGGACCACAACCTGAACTTCAACAGCTTTTTAGACCCATTTAGTAAAAGCTACAAGGTAAACGTAATGTTGAGATACCTGGAAATTTGGAGGCAACACTGCATCACAACAATTATTTTTGAATCAACTAAAGCAACAACTTAAGACCGAGACAAGTCCTCAATTATTAGCTCAGTTAAATAACTTGTGGGCGTTGGAGAGCTTGTCTTTGGTTTGGATACAATCAAGCTGCCAACTTGGAGCCCTGTACTCAAAACACTCCTTTATTTATTTATTTATTTATTTATTTAATTTTAGATGAACTGCCTCAAACTGTTACCATCAAGGACAGTGTGTCTCCGCCTCCTGGTGATACCTCGGTCAAAGCGGAGCCACCGGAGCCTCAAGAGAAGCCGAGTGACAGCGGTACATCGAGCCCCCAACCGCCTCCTCCGACCATCACAGTGAAGACAGAAGTGAAGAAGGAAGAACCACAGGTAGAGGGTGGTAAAGAGGAGGGGGACAATGTTACAGATGGACCGTGTACCAAAATGACCATGAGGCTCAGACGCAACCTCGGCAACCCGCAGTGTGTAAGTAGACCAAATGATGTGAACTCCAACACGACTGATTAACAGAGGCACACAACGGCGAGGTAGTAATTCTAGTTTGTCACTTTTTCAAAGGTGGATTCTTTTGTGTGTCGGATGTGTGGTCGGGGAGACGATGACGAGAAACTGTTGCTGTGTGACGGCTGCGATGATAACTACCACACCTACTGTCTGCTGCCCCCGCTCACAGATCCGCCCAAAGGCAACTGGCGTTGCCCGAAGTGTTTGGCAGAGGTAAGTAAAGATGTTCTGTGTGACTGTAACGCACCATCAGTGTTCATTTTGGCAGCTATTTTAGACTTTGTCTTAATCTTGAGACAAAAATACTTATTAGATTAAATTATAGTTTAGTCATTGTTTTACTTCATAGTTATGGTCTAGACTCTAGTGTTAGTCGTCGACAACTCAAAACGTTTTAGTCCAGTATTAGTCGCAGAAAAATCGTTGCATTTAACTTTAGTTAAATTCGGTTCTCATTTTTGTCAGCTTTTTAAATTTTTTTAAATTTAATCTTGTGCCAATTGTCTTTTTTCATTATATTGAATATTTCAGTAAATCTAGTGGAGCCAAAACAATATTTTTTCATTTTAGTCACACTTATTCCACATTAAATTGTATTTTATCTGATGAAAAACAATGATTAAGAGTGGATTCTATCATCCTTTGAAAGATATAGCATGTTCACTATCGTCACTGTTGGTGTTATTGAAGTTGTTGTCATCGTCTTAGTCACAGAAGAAAAGCTTGTTGACGAACACATGTTGTCATGTTTTTAATTAACGTAATAATCACTGTATGCCATGTTTTGTTGCGTTTCTTCGCCACAAGGCGAATCTTTGTTTATGATTCTCTCACTTTCTAACTTTTGTTAGGAGTGCAAGAAACCTTCAGAAGCATTTGGCTTCGAACAGGCCACACGAGAGTACACGCTGCAGAGTTTTGGGGAAATGGCCGATGCTTTCAAAGCGGATTACTTCAACATGCCTGTTCATGTGAGCGCAGCCACACAAGACATCACCTCTTCACTGTGAAGCACATCTCTGATGGCGCAACTAATCTCTAGCCTCTGTGTTGTTGTTGTTGTTGTTGTTGTTGTTGTTGTCGGTGTAGATGGTTCCCACTGAGCTGGTGGAGAGAGAGTTCTGGAGGTTAGTCAGTAGCATCGAGGAAGACGTGGTTGTTGAGTACGGAGCGGACATCCACTCCAAAGAGTTCGGCAGCGGCTTCCCGATGAACAATGGCAAGAAGGAGCTCACAAAGGAAGAGGAGGTATGCTCATTGTTGTTTCTGTGAAGTATTAGCTTGAAGGCTCATCAACGTTAAAGTGATGTGTCAAGAAATCCATCTGGGCCGTTTCAGAAGGCTGGTTTTGTGAAAACTCTGAGATGAGGGAAACTCTTCAATTCTGGGTCTGTCTGTCTCTTCTCTCTTTCAGAGCCATACACATTGTTTTATTTCCTCTGACACAAACGATTTCCACATAAAAGTGTTTATTGAAGGTTTACTCTGTCAAAGTCTAAATCCTGGTGGGTTAAATTTGTTACTTTATGCCCTCAATCAAATATATGTCGCTCTCAGCTCATAATAAAACCTCAGCATGTCCTTTTTTTATACCACTGAAATGTTTCTCAGTTTAAATCGTAAAAGTCGGTGTGAAGCTTTAGACTCGTATGAGCAATGAATCGTTATCTCAGTCACTCATGATGCGATTTGTTGCACTTATGGAACATAATTCCTACAATATAGGCGATATGTTTATTTCTTAGTCAGCCGGATCGTGTTGCACCCAAAAAAGGAGCGTTTTAGGCTGCATATAGTCTAAATGTGTTTTAACAGCATTTCAGTGATTGTGTTTAAATTTGCCACATTAGTTTAAGTATCTTAAGTAAAGCCACTGAATGCTGTTGAGTCACGCTCCAATGAGATGTCTCAAATTTAAAAGTGACAATTTGAACCTTGAAATCAATAATCGATGAATGATCGATATAATTTGCTGGCCCCTGTGTTTTGTCCCCATCAGATTCAAATTTACCAAATATATTTAAAATGTTGCTTAACTCTATTATGTTGATTTAACATACTCGGAGTTGATTAAGCAATCTATTATTGGCTGTTCTGGAATAGAAAACTCGGTGTTTCCCTTTAGAAAAAGTTTGATTTTACAATGTTTTCAAAAAAGTAATGGTGTAGTTTAGATGGTACCTGTATTCAGGTTGTTTCCAAACCGTTTCATAATCCTAGTCCAGTGCTTATTCTCAGTGCACACTGTTTCCTCTGTCTGCTCAGGAATACGCCCGCAGCGGCTGGAACTTGAACGTGATGCCCGTGCTGGAGCAGTCGCTCCTGTGCCACATTAACGGAGACATCTCTGGGATGAAGGTGCCCTGGCTGTATGTCGGCATGGTGTTCTCAGCTTTCTGCTGGCACATCGAGGATCACTGGAGCTACTCCATCAACTACCTGCACTGGTACAGAATCCTTTGTGTGTATTGTTTGGGGTTTTATCAGTTACAGCTTGTAACGTAGAGAATATATGTTGCCTGGAACGATAATTTGAGAGAAATACTATAACGTTCCCTCTCTGTTGTTTGCGCTCGTGCCGAACTTTCATCTCTAGGGGTGAACCCAAGACGTGGTACGGGGTTCCCTCTGTGGCAGCTGAGCGACTTGAGGGGGTGATGAAGAAGCTGACGCCAGAGCTGTTTGAGTGTCAACCTGACCTCCTGCACCAGCTGGTCACCATCATGAACCCAAATATCCTCATGTCTCACGGCGTACCGGTCAGTCTCGCATAAACACACGTGCACTCAGCAGAAACATGGTCGGGTCAAACGTTTTTCTTTGACTGACCTCAGCGTTTTGTGATTGGCAGGTTGTTCGTACCAACCAGTGTGCTGGCGAGTTTGTCATCACCTTCCCCAGAGCCTACCACAGTGGCTTCAATCAGGGATACAACTTTGCTGAAGCCGTTAACTTCTGCACTGCGGACTGGGTACGTCTGTTTACGCTGTCTCAAGTTGTCATTTCACATCGTTCACAGTGCTGCGTAATCAACATCCCTCTTCTCTCTCCCCTCTCAGCTGCCCGCTGGCCGGTCCTGTATTGAGCACTACCGGCGTCTAACGAGGTATTGTGTGTTCTCCCACGAAGAGCTCACCTGTAAGATGGCTACCAGCCCAGAGAAGCTAGACCTCAACCTGGCTGCAGCGACGCACCGGGAAATGTTCATTATTGTTCAGGAGGAGAGGAAGTTGCGAAAGGGTCTCATGGAAAGGGTGAGACACAGAAATGGATCCTAGAGAGTGTTTGTTTCCCTATTTATTCACTTAACATGTGTAAGTGAATAAATGATACAACATGACATCTGATTGTCTAATAACATCTGTGTGTTGAACCTGCAGGGCATCACTGAAGCAGAGCGGGAGGCATTTGAGCTGCTGCCCGATGACGAGAGACAGTGTGACAATTGTAAGACGACGTGCTTCCTCTCGGCTCTGGCCTGCTCAAACTGTCCCGAGAGACTGGTGTGTCTCTATCACACTCAGGATCTGTGCAACTGCCCCACTGAAAAACTCTACCTCAGGTATTTATCTCTCGTGTAGCTGTGAGTGTGAGCGCATATGTTTTTCAGTGAGCCGCGATCCACTGAGTGACAAGTCTTTTTCTAATTTGATCTCTTCTCCCGTCACTTTCAGATACAGATATACCCTCGATGAGCTGTTAGCCATGTTGCATCGATTAAAGGTTCGCTCCGAGTCCTTTGACTCCTGGGCCAACCGAGTGAAAGAGGCACTTGAGCAGGAAGAAGGAAACAAGATAGGTGGGAAATCAACATAAATGTATCCCTTAAAACTTTGTTTCAAAATAATATTATGATCTTAAAACAAAGCGCTAAGACCAAACGGTTATTGATTTGCAGGAATTGACGACCTGGAGATGCTGAAGACGGAAGCAGCGGAAAAGAAGTTTCCCGACAACGAACTTCTGCGGAAACTCAACACTGTTCTTAAAGACATAGAACGCTGCCAGCGGACCAGTACTGAGCTCCTCAGTAACTCAAAGACCGGGTAAGATGGAACGTCTACTCAACATTTACACTAACTGTTACAGTTGCATGCACTTACTGATTGCATTCCTTTAGTGAAAGTAAGATGACTTCGGCAGAGCTGAAGTCCTTGGTAGAGAAGATGCAGAACCTGCCCTGTGTGATCGCCCAGCTGGAGGAAGTGCAGGTGAGACGTCACTCTGAGTAAACTAGCTTATATTTTTGTTGTACTTTTTTATTTCGTACACTTGCGCTTTAACTCTGTACCGTCTGATTTTCAAGGTGGTTCTGCGGACAGTGGAGGATTTCCAGAGCCGGGCTCAATTGCTGGCCAACGACAGGGACTGGAGGAGGGACTCCTCGCCACCTGAACAGTTGCAGAATTTGTTGGAGCAGGGGGCTGAGCTGCTTGTTGTGGTGCCGGAGTGCAGTTTACTCCAGGGTCTAAAGGAGCAGGGCCATTGGCTGGCAGAAGTGAGGTGCACACTGGGTACAGAAGGAGGGGAAAGGCAGGAGGTGATGTTGGATGTTCTGAGAAACCTGATGGAGGCAGGCTGCAACGTACCCCAGAGTGTGTCCGTGGAGACGGCCATGGCAGAGCTACAGGAGCTGCTCACCATCGCGGAGCGCTGGGAGGAGAAAGCTCAGATCTGCCTCGAGCAAAGGTACGACCAACCAGTCACACATACACTTTTGTCTTTCAGCCGCCATGGGGGGTTGTCATCCGTTTGCAACTAGTTTATCCTGGTGCAATGATGTCAACATTTCTTTTGTTCTTTCAGGCAAAAGCATCCTCTCTCCACTCTGGAGGCAATAGTAAATGAGGCCCAGCTAATTCCAGTCAAGCTGCCCAACATTCTCGCTCTCCAGGACTGTCTCACTCGAGCACGCGCCTGGGTAACGGACCTCGAGGAGATCCAGGTAGCAAAAACAATCTTTGTTATTCTACCCCCTCTGTAATGGTGTGATTTGTAATTACATTGACATTTTCAAAACATGCTGCACCTTCATGTTGTAACGTTGTTCCTTTGGTGCAGAATGGGGAGCATTACCCGTGCCTGGATGACCTGGAGGGCCTGGTGGCTATTGGAAGAGACTTGCCGGTCTTCATGGAGGAGTTAAGACAGCTGGAACTGCAGGTAGCCAGCGCTCATTCCTGGAGGGACAAGGCCACCAAGACCTTCCTGAAGAAGAGCAGTCAGCACAGTCTGCTAGAGGTGAGCAACGCCAATGAAATGAATAATTACTGTATGTTAAAATTGTACTTGAAGGGAAAATTTGCCACCTTTTTTTATTTGGATGTCCAATCAGAGCTGATGGTAAATGCAGCCCACTGAAGAAATCAATTCCTTTTTTCTGAATACACTACCCACCTTAGCTTTAAATAGACAATATTTCTGTCAACATAGAGCAAAGAGTTGTCTGTATAGACAGCATGCGTTAAACTGCAGTGTGGCCCTGCAGGTGTTATGTCCGTGTGCTAAAAGGAGAGAGAGACGAGATGAGCTGGAGCTGCTGGACGAGCCTTTAGATGATTCTGACACCAACACTCTGGGCCTCTCTGCTCAGGACCTGAGGGACCCTGCCGCTATTGTGAGTTTATTAAACATGTTATTGTTCATTTTGAATCTCTAACATAGTAAATACTAGTTTTGTGAACTTGTCGTGTGTGCCTTGTCTCTAGGTGATGGCATTCAAAGAAGGGGAGCACCAGGAAAAGGAGGCACTGCTACGATTACAGAAATTGAACATGTGCAAATCTGGACTTAACGCCACAAATTGCAAGGAGAACAAGGAGGACAAGGAGAACGGGAGGTGGGAGGACGCCATGGAGACGGACACATCCAGCCACTCGGAGGACTCTGTAAAGGAGAACGGTAACGGTAACCACACCTGCACCGCCCCTCCTCAGTCGGTGTGCGTGTGTACCGGTCAGCCTCGTGCGCCTCAGCTCCGCTGTCACCTGTGTAAGGACTGGTTCCACGGGGGCTGTGTTCCCTCTCCCGCCCTGCTCCCCTCCTCCGGACCACCGGTGAACCCCCTCTGCTGGTGGGACTGGGACTCGCGCTTCTTGTGCCCGCGGTGCCAGCGGTCACGGCGCCCGCGCCTGGAGACCATCCTGGCGCTGCTCGTCGCCCTGCAGAGGCTGCCGGTGCGTCTGCCCGAAGGAGAAGCGCTGCAGTGTCTCACAGAGAGGGCCATCACCTGGCAGGGCCGAGCCAAGGAGGCCCTAGAGACACCGGAGCTGCAGCAGGCACTCCAGCGGCTGCAAGAACTTAAAGAGACTCTCCATTGTGAAACCGAGAAAAAGGAAAACGTGGAAAAGGACACAAAGGGGAGCTCGGTGATCGTTTTATCGGACTCCGAGGGAGGGGAAGTAGAGGAAGGAGTCATTGATCTCACAGACGAGAATTCACCTAAAAAGAACACCAAGGAAAGCAACGGCACTCAGGTTAACACCTCATTCTGACTCTCTTTATGATATTAAACCAAATATAGACTGCTCACTGTAAACTGACTCAAATACACTGAATTGCTTCTTTCTCATCGTACTGTATCCAACCTGCCTGTTCAATACAATGCTTGTTTGCCCATAGGCTGGATGTGAAAATGGCATCAGCAAGAAGTCAAATATTACAGGTAAGAGGGTGTTTTCATTTTCAAGTAAATGTCAAAAGTTGAGTTGCGCAGCGCCTCACGCGAGACGGCAGTCCTCACAACGTTTCCCTTCTGCTCTCGTCCCGCTCAGGCGTGGGCTCTCTGCTGCCCCTGCTGCCTCTGCTCAGAGGCCAGGTGGTGGAGCTCCTACCAGCCACCGAAGTCCAGCTGGAGGAGCTGCAGCTGGAAGGAGATCTGCTGGAGGTGTCCTTGGACCAGACGCTCAACATCCACAGAGTTCTGCAAGCTGCTTCTGTTCCAGAAAGAGAAACACTGCGCACACTCATTCAGGTCAGGAGAACAAACTTTGACCTTTTAAGAGGAAAATATCCTGCATTGTGATATACTTCGTTACTGAGATATGAAATGACCAATATTCGTGGTAGTATATTTTTGCTGTGTCGCCCGGCCCTATTTATATTCAGTTTTATTCACCTAAATGCTTAAGTTTATCCTTTAAAGCACAGCCGACATGTTGAATGCATTTCCTTCCTGTCAAGGTCTAAAACCTGCATTGTTTACAACCACGTTTGCTTGCTGTAGCAGTCTTCTTCTTCTTCTGTGGGTACATTACTGCCACTTGTAGATCAGTGGAGTAGTGTGAAACTATTGCCATACATGTCTCATGTCACAGATGATGTAAAAGTATGCAAGAGTTTGTACTTTTTACGAGCGTTCGTATCATTTAGGAGGAAACGATAAAATGAGCTGCTGTGTTTATTGCCTTGTTACATTTTTGTTGATGTCTGCAGCTTCCTCTCTAATATTCTTGTCCTCTCTCTCTCAGATTGAGCTTGAGGAGCAGAGGCGAACTAACCGTGGACGAGCCAAGGACTCCAAACGAAAGAGAAAGGGCCACAGAGGAGGCAGCGGGGACAGGGCCGGAGAGCGGTCGCTGGACGCCTCCGAGTCAAAGAAAACCTGTCCCCTCAGCCCCTCCCCTCGGTTACCTGTCCAGACCAATCCAGAGGTAACTGCCCCCTTTTTAGCTGTTGTAGTTTTAAAGCTTAAGCTTTATTTGAGATAAAACATGTTTTGCTTTTCTCCATTGACAGATTTTGTGATATAGCCAACGCTGGATCTCTGTTTAGACGGATTAGTCGGAGGAATGCCAGAAGAAAAGTTCTAGAAAGATGCAGGACATCCCCATCCCTGTCCCCTACGTTCCTCCTCCTCCTCCTCCTCCCTCATTCACACATGCAGGCACTAACGGAGCAATGACTCTTCTTCTACACTCCACCGTCTCATCCTAAACTCAGCCATATCTCACCCGTCTTGATTTTTTATTTTTTTTTCTCAGACTCGCTGTCTTACCCAACCCTTTACTCTCGACCTTCCCTGGACTCATTTTTCCTGTGAACATATTAAGACTGTGTTGGACCGATGTGGGACGTACCGCAATAGGAGTGTCTTTGGTCTAGAGTTGTCTCTGAGGTCAGTCAGTATGCTACGTTTTCCCAACTGTATTAAAGTTAGTTCAACCGAAGCCCGTCTCGGCAGTTGCCGTTTTCCTTCACTTGAGCCCACTCGTTGAAGTTGGATAAGCTTTGGGGGTGTATTTAGGCCGTTCTGTTTGGGCATGGATCCTGAAGCTGAAGTACAGCGAGGGTTTTGACTGCTGATCTCGGACAACAGCGCCGCGGTCACACTTGTATTTTTTTAGTTGTATTGACTCTTGTGTTTGATGCTGTTTTGAGGGGACACGCATTTTGAATAAAAGTACGTTTTGGGAAGTGTTAAAAACAGGCATTAATGTTTTTGGTGCTACTTTCCCAAAATGGATATCTGTACCTCTTGGCTTTGTCTTTCTCCTCCCTTTCCTCCCCTTGATGCCTTTTTTAAAATTTATTTTTTTTAAGCGACCCCTCCCTTTTGGCTCAATACTTTATTCCTTTAAGTCTCACCTCCTTTTCTCCCTCCCTCGTTCTCTCTCTTTGCAAATTAAGGTAACTTCACTGTAACTCACTTGTCACAACTTATTTTGTTTCCTGGGTTCAAATATTATTATTATTATTGATATTGCAGACACACAGTTGTCGTGGGTTCGTGTATAAACTTTTCATTTTAATGTTGCCTTTGTTTCTTTTCACTCTTGTTAGAAAAATAAAGGTTTAGAATTGTTTAGGACATGTTGACTCATTATTTCTAGTCTTGAAATGCTTCAGTCCTGAGATCAGTAACGGTTTCATTCCAGCAATTAGACACCACCAAAGTGAGTTTCATGATCACAGCATTTATTTAGAAAAGCTATCACTGGAAAATGGCTGACACAAAACTGACGTCACAATATTGAACGAGTACACCATGTTTTCATCAACTATGCTAGCGTTTAAAGCAAGTTAGAAAGACACACACAACTACAGTATGTTAAAGGCTTTCAGTTTTCAAACAAATATTTCTGCCTCAATATCAAACATGCATGTAAGCCAAATACAAATCAGCTTTGTTCACAGGGTTTTCTGAACACATTCTTGGTAGTTATTGTCGTTCTAGGTACTTTAACTGGATCATCATCCAGAGGCTGGTTCTGAGAGCACATCATCGGCAAAAATCTCAGAATCTTGAGAACGGAAAATCCAGAGTTGAAGTAGCTGTAGACCCAATTAACAGGGACAGAAGAATAATCTTAATTTGCAGTGAAATAGCCTTGTTCACAGTCAACATTGAAATGAATTATATTTGCATACTGACCAAAACTCATTGGTCCAGAAAAAGCATTTTGCACTTTTGAAATGGCAAAACGTATTTTGATATTTTATTCATTTAAATAGCAAATGGGCCTTTTTGAATAACACATCAAATGTTTTCTGTGCTTTATGCGGCACAGTGTGCCCTTCTAAGAAAAGAAAATGGTAGGCATGTCAGTTGCTCTGTGCTTCAGTGATTACCTTCTCAGCTAAAGCAGTTCAGCTTCTTTTTTTTATCGCTTTAAAAATTGTGCTGTACAGTCAAGTCTGCCTGACGGGAAGGCACCGCTCAGTTCCTCTTTATCAAAAAGCATCTGTGGTCTGACAGTTTGCATTTCCTGTATCACAACGAAGGAGCATTTATACATGAACACTACAAGAATGGGAAAAAAAATGTTTTATCTACAATAACTGGCACACAATAAAAATGTCCGTCAACAAAGAAAACTTCATGGACACTAAATATACAGTTTTATGGCACAGAAGTGACTTTTTCTCATCCTGTTTTCACAGCTGCTTGGTTCTAAGCCGCACTTTTAGTTTTCCTCTTTCTGTTCTTCATAAAAATGTAGAGGCCTGCAAAGATGACTTTTGTGCAAAGCTCTAATGTACAGCAGGTGGTGCTATCTCTCCTTTATGGAAGAAGGCAGATCTCGTGTGGTGACTCATTTCTAAATGTGCTCCCTCTGAATATGTTTCAAATGGTCTGTAAGTCTGCCCACTTGACCACCTACACGCGCTTCTTTCCTGTCTTGTGCATTGACTGCATGACGTCCGGGTTTTAAATGTGACAGGTTTCTGTGAAAGGTAGAAGAATGGCACTTTATTAAAGCATCATGAAAATGTCTGAAAATTGTTTTCCTGACAAGTTAAGGTCCATTCAACCAGACGAAATGAAAAGAGGGATTCAGTGTATATCAAATATGCTGTAGTATAATTGTAAAATGTGTCACTTTTGTAATTCTGCATTTGCATATGGAATGCATTTCTGAAATGTAGCTTTGATTTGACACAATTGTAAATAATTCTCCAATCTAAACATGTTGAGTCCCTGCAGACAAATATGTGTGCCAAGGTGTAGGCCTACTGAAGCAGCATGTGTTGATCTTATAGGCCCCGTCGAAACACTTTGGCACCGTCTAATCTCTCCCTAACTCTCTGCCTCCCGTCTTATCTCAGACTGTGGTGACGGACAGCAGGGGGTTATATACTTTCTTCCCATCTGCAGACCTGGACCCATGGGCCAGCAGCTCCTGTATCGTGATCCAGTTGTCCAGGATTCTGCGACTCCGCTTCTTCACGCTCCTGCGGTGGCACAGCTCCAGGATGGAGGTGGGCTCCTGCTGCTGAGTTGTGCCCTGCTGTCCTCCTCCCTGCTCCCTCTCGCGCTCTCTCAAACAGTCGAGGCGGCTCTGCATCATGAACTCCCTGCGCCGCCGCTGCTCTCGGGCCTTCAGCAGCTGCTGCTTGCGCTCCTCTTTGCTCCAGTAACGGCCCATCTTCATTTCGCTCACGGCGTCGTCGTCCGTGGTCATGCCACTGCGCTCCTCTCGGATCTTCATGGCGCGCGCCTTCAGGAGGCGATCCCTCACGGGCCGCTTGGCCACGTAGCGAGAGCCGTCGCTGCGGATCTTCACCTTCCACTCCATACGAGGGGAGGCCGGCAGCATTGGAGGGGACAAGGGCACAGCTCCTGGGGCCTGAGCGACGTCTTTACACGTGCTACCCAAGCTCATTGGGCTGGCGTCGCCCCAGGTCTCCATGCTGCCCTCTCTGGGTCCACCGAGCCGCTCCGAGGTGGAGGGAGACCTCAGCTGCATGCAGCTCAGGTAGTGCTGAGGTGGCTTTGTGTCCGTCTGACGACGAGACAGGTAAGGGCTGTTCTCTGCACTGTATCCGCCAGACCTCTCAGCAGTCCCATTGGCTTTGGGGCTACTTCTCACCTCGCCATCTGAGCCCCGCCTGGTTCCTCTGTCCCGGGACAGGGACCTGACCTTAGCTCCGGGGCTGTATGTCTTAGCTTCGGCTCGTCTCCTGTGGGAGTGGGGCGAGTAGGGTTGGTTGAGGTTTGCTTGTGTGCCGTCGCCCCTTTCGCCCCTGGTTCCTCTCTCTCTCTGCCGAGGGGAGGATGGAAGCTGCGTACCTGCCGAAAGAAGAGGCTCTCCTCCCTCCAGGCTCTGTGTAGAGGGGGAAGGGTGCTGTTCGTTGACCAGAGGGGTGCTCCTGCAACTTTCCCCTCCAGTGTTGTAGGCACTCGTGCTGTCCTTATCCGAGCGCTCCCTCTCTGGGAGCTCATTGATGTCTGACAGAGCGTGGTGACAGGACTCCTCACTGACCAACGTACCACTAATGTCCAAGCGTCCAGCCCCTGCACTGGCTCCATTCATGTCCTCGAGGGGCCAAGCCTTCAGACAACGCTCCCTCAGCTGCTGCATCTTCTGCGCCCTCAGGATGTTACGACACTTGAACTCCAAGTGCCGCAGTTCCTCTTCCAGGAGGGCCATTTCGTGCTGCGTCAGGCTCTCGTTCCTGTTCACGTCCAGTGAGACACCTTCCTCTTGGGCCAGCCCCTGACCTCCCAGTGGCATCAGAGCATTGGTGATCTTCTCATAGTAACACTTGATTTCCAGGAGCTCTTTGTACCTCTCGCACTCCTCGTCAGTCAGCCCGGGCATCATCATTCTCACGGGATCGGTGGCGTAAGCCCTCTCCAATCGCTCCACCTGTTCCAGCCCTCCTCCGTTAACGCAGTCCAGCCCTAAGAGGGAGTCGGCGCTGAACTGGAGGTCCTGGGAGTGCAGCAAGAGCGGAGTGTCCCCTTGGCTGGACAAAAACTTGCGCATGCTCCCAGGAGTATTGGTGGCGTTGGTGTTGGAGGCACTAGTGTGGTCGTCTCCCAGGAGGTCGTGTTCTGAAGACTCCTCATAGCGCGTGCTTTCATCTGTGCGGCCCACCCCGCTGTCCAGCTCCTGGCTGTTGCTCAGCACCGTCTTGAGCAAATCAGGTGAATCCCTGTTCATCGAGCGGCCGAGGCTGCCTAGTACACCCCCACCAGCAACGCCGCCTGGTCCGGCACCCAGGACCGAGGTGCCGTTCCTCGCTCTGTGGCTGCTGGGTAGATGAACAGCGTTGTCCAGTGTGTCCGGGTCCAACTCATCTTGATCCAGCTGGTTGTCATTCTGGCAGGTAGAGGTGTATCAGTACAGGTGGTTGCATTTAGTTGATGGCATTGCGGTGGAGGTGTTAAGGTCATTGTTGAAGAGACAAACAAAAGACAGAAGGAAAGTATGCATTACAATGTCAGTGAAGAGACTAAATGTCTAAATGTCTTAGAACACGCCTGGATGAGATCTTTAACATAGAATATAACAATATTTTTTAATTTTTTAAAGAAGCATAAGCATTCACAGTTTTTTTTTGGCCACTTGGGGGCAGGGAAACAAGCTCCAAACCCACTATTGATATATAATCTTTGAAGTTGATATAATAAAGTTATTAGCCAACCTGTTGGCTATTTACACATAAAGCAGATATGGAGCGTTGTCAGTGTAAACAAATCGATTATATTTGTTATTATATTATTATATATATATATATATATTTAATGCTGAGTGCAGCACGTTTCTGAACCGATATAAGAGTAGTGCTCTTGTCTGTCACTAGATGGAGCCGGTGCTCTGTGAGATTTTAACATAATTTCAAAAAGCTTCTGTTGCATTTGGAAATGGAAAGCCATTGAGTAATCTGTCTGTAGAGGAAGACAAACACTCATAGCTCATGTTCATCTAAGCATCAGCTGTCTAATAAGGACACTTGTTTTTCATAGTCAAGTATTCATTATTGGACGATTAATGTCCATCGAGAATGATCCAATCTTTAGAGAAGAATAATACTTAATATTGTAGAACTGTTGTTGTTTCCGAGCTGTTTACTTTTCTGTATTGATTGGGATCAAATGAAATGCAAATACTTGAGCTTGAAAAAGTAAACAGTACTGATTGATCTTGGCTAATTGGTCTGATTGGAATGTGAGTTGCAGTGCAGACTACAGACAAAGTATTGATTATCTTCATTCTTATTCGTCGACAACCCCTTCAGTTCTCTCTCTTTCTGCCTCCAGACAACAGATCACGCTTTAATCTCTGCTTGTGCATTTCCCTCTGATGATTCTCCGTCCTCCCCTCGCTCTCTTGAATCTTAATGTGGGACCATGCCTTCGCAATATCAATCTTGTCAGCCTTTCACAGGTAGTGCTTGTGCTCATCTCTCAATACAAGGACATATTTAAACAGAGGAGAGGCTGTGTGTGTGTGTGTGTGTCTTTGACTTTGACCATTTTAACGAGTGCCTTTATAATCCGCCCTTTAGCTTCTTCTGTACAGATGCAGCATATAGGTTTTTGTATTCTCACATATATAATGTGTCCAACTGTTGTTGTTTTTTATATGGTAAGCAATGAAAATCTGTTTGAATGTGTCAAGTTGTATGTTTCCAAGTCATTTGGCGGAGGTGTGTTGAGGGGCTTTCGGTGTGTTATTGAGGGGCTTTCGGTGTGTCATTGAGGGGCTTTCGGTGTGTCATTGAGGGGCTTTCGGTGTGTGTTACAACGTGTGCTAGGAGAGTGACCTTGAGGGAAACAAAGCGGTGCAACATTTGCACTGTGAGTACAAGCGCTATTTGTCTTTGCCTCTCTCTTCACACTATCTGTGTACTCATCACCTCTTTGCTTTTCTAGCGCCCGTACAGCTTGCAGTACACAGCACACAGCAGAGCACCGAGCTCTTTGTCGTGTCCCCGATTTCTTTTCTTTCTGTTGTGAATCTCACGACTTAATGATTCCATAGAGCACTACTTACATATATATATATATATATATATACCCAATCATGTAAAGTAATTTCTTGCTCCATAAAGAGGGAGATAAGAGGGAGAGGATGTATTGTGTTTTCGGTCAGTATTCATACTGAGCCTTGCAGTGATCTCCCCTTAGACTGCAATATCCAATTTCCTCACCTCTATCTCGGGTCGTGCAAGGAGCAGGGAGACATTAGTGCTGTCCTCTCTGGTGAGAATAGCTACTGCCTCCTCTCTGTCCTGGATGTCCACTCCATTTATCTGAGAGAAAGACAGAGGAGAATTAAAACTGAGCTAATGTCACAAAAAGAAAGACCCCTCACACCAAGGCTAGATTCAATTAAATTACTGGATTCAGGGAAAAGAAATCTCTCTTTAGCTTAATAGCAGGATGATAATGAAATTCAATCTCTCATGAAATGATTTTGAATAATTGCCCCACTAAAAGCAATTTCCTTTAATATGCGAATAAGGCTGGATTAAAAGGGACTTGACTATTGTGGACCAGGGTTATCTTAAACTTTCATGCATTACGTAACTAAAGGAAAAGTAAAAAGCTGTTGCTGTGAAGAGTTATACATCTCTGTAGTATTGATAACATCATTTAAAATAATTCAAACCCCAGTACATTTAGTAAACTTGTACCTGTAGTATTCTGTCTCCTTTGCGGATGCGTCCATCTATTGCAGCGATGCTGTTTGGGTTTACCTGGGGGGGGGGGGGGAAGGATTTTTTAACAGCATAAAGAAATGGGAAAACTTTATTGAAAATTTGATTTCATAATACTCTCTTCACCTCTCCTACATATATTCCCAGGTCCTCCTCATCATCGGTTCTGTAACACACCGTCAGCCCGAGTTTATCCTGTTGGCGAGGCTTATACAGCTCCACCTCCTGAAGCAGTTGGGGAGAAGTGTGAGGATGTCAGACGGGCAACCACGGGGCAGCTTTTCTGTATCAGTTTGAGTAAAGGTCTCTCACCTCATATTCCAGTTCATCCTGTCTGTCCACTTCATGCTGAGTGATGTCGAAGTAATCAGTGGGGTCGTAGTATACCGGCTCTATGAAGCTGAGAATGACAATATTCAGAACATAATATTTCAGTAATTGGAGCAGCTTCAAACTTCAAATGTGTGAACAGAATGGCATGGACTAGAACCAAGACGGCAGATGAGCTCTGGTCTGACAGTCGGATATGCTGCAGAGGCCTATTAAACTGCTCCCACTCACAGTTCATTGAACAGATATGGCTCCAGTAACGGCGGCAGTGGAGGGGACGGCGGAGGGTCGGGTGGGGGTGGAGCACCACAGGGATGCTGGTTGCTGTTGCCCAGAGTCAACATATGCTGGAAGCTGATGTCTGTTTGGGTGCAGCTGTCTACACAGTCGGCCATACCCATGGTCACTGGCACTAACCCGCCGGGGGCCCCTGCCAGGCCTGCACGTCTGCGGGCCCCCCGCCTCAGTATGTTGGACAGCACAGGGTCCCGTATGTCCAGGGTGGGGTCCCCAGAAAGGCGGGACAGCTCCTTTCCATTAACCTGGAAATCAGTCAAGATCAAAATGGTGGATGAGCAGGAGGAGAAAATGAGAGAAGCAGCTAATTGAATTTACAGAGACTGTTTTGGTAAAGGAGGTTGAGCTTTAACATTCAGTGCTAGACCCAAATTCCAATGAGCTTAAAACATGTAACAGAGTAGCACATCCCACATTTCCAAACCAAGGAGGACAA